TTTGGTATCCGGGTTATATTGGCCTCATAGAAAGTGTTAGGATGTATTGCTTCTTCTTCAATTTTTTGGAAGAGTTTAGGAAAGACAGGTTTTAAATCTTCTTTGAATGCTTGCTAGAATTCACTAGTGAAGCCATCTGGTTTTGGATTTGTATTTTTGGGGAGGTTTTTCATGGTTGTATCAATTTCATCACTGCTGATCAGTCTATTTAGATTATCTAATTCCTCATGATTTAGTCTAGGAAGTTTAATATTTCTAGGAACTTATCCATTCCTCCTAGGTTATTGAATTTGGTGCCATATAGTCTTTCATAATATTCTAGTATTGTTCTTTGTATATCTGTGATGTCTGTGGGGACTTCTCCTCTCTGATTTCTGATTTTATTTACATGGGTCTTTTCCCTTTTTTCCTTAGTGAGTTTAGCCAGGAGTTTGTCAATTTTATTAATCTTTTCAAAGAACCAGCTCTTTGTTTTACTGATTTTTTTGTATAGTCTTTTGGTTCTCTATTTTATTTAATTCTGCTCTAATTTTTATTATTTCCTTTCTTCTGCTGACTTAGGGTTGCTCTTGTTCTTCTTTTTCTTGTTCTTTAGATGTGATGTTAGGTTGTTTACTTGGGATTTCTCTTGTTTCTTGAGATAGGCCTGTAATGATATCAACTTCCTCTTATTACTGCTTTCACTGCATCCCAGAGATTTTGATATGTTGTGTTATTATTCTCATTTGTCTTTCTATATCTTCTGATCTCATCTTTTATGTCTTCTTTGACACAGGCATTTTTAAAAATAGTATGTTATTTAATCTCCACGTATTTGTGGATTTCTTTACTTCCTTTTTGCAGTTGATTTCTAATTTCAAGGCACTGTGGTCAAAGGATATGCTTGGTATAATTTCAATCTTCTTGAATTGGTTGATGCTACTTTTGTGACCCAACATATGGTGTACCCTTGAGAATGTTCCATGTGCACTGGAGAAGAATGTGTAATCTGATGTTCTGGGATGAAAGGTTCTCTAAATGTCAATTATGTCCATTTGGTCTAGTGTTTCATTTAAGGCAGATATTTCATATATATGTTGATTTCAGAGAAGAAGGGAGAGGGAGAGATAGAAACATCAATGATGAGAGAGAATCATTGATTGGCTGACTCCTGCATGTGACCTACTGGGGATTGAGTCCGCAATCCTGACATGTGCCCTTGACTGGAACTGAACCTAGGACCTCTCAGTCTACAGGCCAATGCTCTATCCACTGAGACAAACTAACTAGGGCAAGGCCGATATTTCTTTATTGATTTTCAGTTTGGTTGATCTTTCTAGAGCTGTCAATGGAGTATTAAGTTCCACAACTATGATTGTGTTTTGATCTGTTCTCCCTTTAGTTCTGTGAGTAGTAGTTTTATATATTTCAGTGTTCCCTGGTTGGGTACATATATATTAAGACGTGTTACATTTTCTTGATGTAGTGTCCCCTTTATCATTATAAAGTGTCCATCTTTGTCTCTTGCTATCTTGAAATCTGTTTTGTCAGATATAAGTATGACTATACCTGCTTTTCTGTGGATGTTATTTTCTTTGAGACTCATTTTCCACCCTTTTACTTTGAATCTGCCTTTGTCTTTGCCCCTTAGATGTGTCTCTTATAGGCAGCATATGGTGGGGTTTTGTTTTTTTGATCCATTCTGCTACTCTGTGCCTCTTTATTGTTGAATCCAGACCATTTACATTTAGGGTAGTTACTGATGTATGAAGATTTCCCTATAGCTGTTTTATCTTTTGTTTTCTGGTAGCTATATGCCTCCATTGGTTCTTTTCCTTTATTTTTCTCTCTGTTGTTTTTGTTCAGTGATATTCTATAGTTTTTTTCCTCTGTTTCCCCCTTTTTAAGCTCTGTGTCCTGGTTTGGGGATTTTTATATGTGGTTAACATTAGGTTTATAAAAGATAAACCTGCATTTATACTGTAACTTTTTTTCTTTTGAGTGCATCTGATCTTCATCCCCCTTTGCCAGTTCAGACCTTTATCCCCGCCCCTTTTATGCTTTTGTAGTCACAAATTATCCCTGTTTATGTAGTAAGTTTTTTGGTGATCTTACTCACGATGTTGTGACCTTACGTTCTTTGTTTCAGGTAGAATAACTCCCTTGAGTATTTCCTGCAATGGAAGTTTTCTAGTGATAAAATCCCTCAGCTTCTGTATGGCTGAGGAAATCCTTATTTTTCCTTCATATCTAAAGGATAATTTTGCTGGATATATTATTCATGGCCTGTAATTTATCTCATTCAGATGTTGGAATTGGTCCCACTCTTGTCTGGCTTGTAGAGTTTCTGCTGAGAAGTTGGATGAAATACTGATGGGTTTTTCTTTATATGTCACTTCCTTCTTTCCCCTGGCTGCTTTGAGAATTTTTTCTTTGTCATTAATTTTTAACAGCTTTAATACCAAGTGCCTTGCAGAGGGCCTCTTTGGATTGAGGTAACTAGGTGTTCTCTTTGCTTCTTTCCATAGGTTTGGAAAGTTCTCATCCACTGTTTGTTTGAATAGCCTTTCCATTCCATGCCCCCCTCCTCCTGTCTGCATGCCTATAATTCTAATATTGCCTTTTCTGACGGAGTCAGATAGTTCTCCTAGAGCTCTTTCATTTTTCTTGATGCTCAGGTCTCTCTCTTCTTCCCTCTGTGCCATTTCTAGATTCCTATCTTCGATATCACTAATTCCTCCCTCCATCTGGTTGGCTCTGTTTTCTATGAGCGGTAGTTCACTCTTAATCTCCTTAATGGCATGCTTAATTTCCAGAATTTTTGTGTGTGTTTTTTTTCTTTTAAAGTTTCAATGTCTTTGGTAAGGTACTAGTTTTGTCCATTGATTTGTTTTCTGAGTGCATTTGAATTGCCTGTCTGTATTTTCTCGCATCTCATTGAGTATTTTCAGAATTGCAAACTTGAAATCCCTCATTTACATCACATATTTCCATGTGTTCCAGCTTGCTTTCTGGGGATTTTTCATTTTCTTTCTGATCATCCTTGTTACCATAGTTATTCATGGTACTTCCTGTTCTTCTTTGCCCTAGACATTTGTATCTATGTTAATGAAGAAGTCTTTCTACTGTTTTCCAGTAGATGGCGCGGAATCAAAAGATTTTTATTTCATTATTATTTTTTAAACATTTATGTATGTATGTATGTATGTATTTATTTATTTATTTACCTCTGTGATCTACCTGTCTTGACCTCCAAGACTTGAGTAAGACAGTACAGCCTGCTCTATGGGACTGGGATTTGTTTTGCCCTCAACATAATGGTGACCCTTGACCTCTGTGGTAGAGTTCCACCCCAAGCATTCCTCCTTGGGATCCTTCACAGAGGGAAACAGCGGTTCTACTGCAATAGCTCATGGGTTATAGGTAATATGCTCCCGGGCCTCACTCCAAGGGCAACGGGAGGAGAGTCTGGGGGTCCAAGAGCTCTGTGGTTCCATTTCTTTGTCTGAACACCACCACCTGCCAACTGTGGAGAACCACATGGCAGAACCCAGTGCTCTGTCAGGCAACTCAGACACTGTGTGCTCCCTGGGCACTGGGCCTGCTGGGGTGCCCCTGCAGCTCTCTGTTCCTCCCAGCCAAAGGGAATTCCTGCTACATCCCGCTCCCTCCCTCTCCAGGTCCAGCCATGAGCTTCCAGCTGCAGGGCTGCTTCTCTGGGCCTTCTGCACTTTCCTCCTTTCTCCTCTCTCTGTTTATTCTCGGTTGCTCACCTTTAGATGGTTCAATCCCTAGTTTTCTCTTCAAGGGTCTGTTTTGAGCAGCAATTTCTTTGTTGAATTATAGCTGGTTAACTTGCTATTTCAATGGAAAAGGTCAATCCTCTGAAGTAATTCAGGTCCTTTGTATTTCAATGCAAGTTTTAGAATCAGTTTACAAAGTTTGCGCTTCTGTTGTTAAGTTTATTCATGAGTATGTAATTTTGATACTATTGTAAGTAGAATTATTCTCTTAATTTTATTTTCAGATGGTCTTTGCTAGTGTATACAATTGATTTTTATATGTTGATCTTGTATCTTACAACCCTGCTGACTTTCTCAGTTTGTTCTGCTGGGTCTTGGTAGCTTCCTTAGAATTTTTAATATACAAGATCATGTCATTTGCAAATAGAAATAGTTTTACCTCTTTTCCAATCTGAGTGCACTCTCTTTCTTTTCTGGCCCAATTTCTCTCGCTTAAACATCCAGTGCTCTGTTGAATAGAGTGATGAGAGTGGACGGACATACTTGTCCTGCTCTTGATGCTAAAGGGAGAGCCTTCAGTCTTTCACCATTTAGTATGATATGTTGTGAGCTTTATTGTGGATACCCTTCATCAGGTTGAGGAGGTTCTTTTCTATTAGTAGCTTCTTCTATGTTGGGGTTTTTAAAAGTATGAAAATGTAGATTTTGTCAAATGCTTTCTCTATATCATTTTAAGTAACATATGCTTTAACCTATATTATAGTCATGTTATTGTATCTATAAAAAACATTCATGTCCATCCTTTTGAACTTCATCTCTCAAACTTCTTCTACAGTCATGGTGCCCAGAAGCTGAAATACAGGAGAGCTCCAACTCCAAGACCTAGTCAAGCCAAATCATATCCCCAAAAGCAACCATGCACCCCAATTCTCCCCCCCTCTAACCTCAACTTCCTTCATCCTTCCAAATCACTTTATTGACACCTTTAACACCTGCTCTGCCCTTCTCCCAGCTGGGAAACTTCACTGCATTCTTACAATTGTAACATATGGTTCCAAGAGTTCCCCCTCCCCCCATTCTCTCCCCTCAAGGGATCCAGTATGTTTAGGCCCAGATTTCTGGACTCTTACCTGTGTCAGGAACTAGACCCTACGTAGAGATGATCCCAAACTCAAATCTTTAAAACAAATCTGAAACTAAACCTTCTCCACACTAGCCTGCCCTCCCTGGGGTCCACAACCCCAGCCTCGGCCTTAACCCTCCTTCCTTCTTCTCCAGGTTTCAACAGCATATTAGCCTTCCTCCTCCTCCTCCTGTGCTTAAAGTCAGGTGAGTGCAGGGTGGAAAGAATGAAGAGGGATGAGACTGCCCTTGGGAAGTGGTTTAAAGAGGATCCTGATTCAGGGGATGGGGATAGTGCCTGGTTCTCCTTGAAGTCACCAGCAATTTGTCTCCAGGGGCCCACATGAACTCCGGCCTGTGGCTGTGCCAGCAAGCACCCAGATGTGGGAACCATATGTACAACCCCATGGAGCAATGCTGTCATCATGACACCATCCTGTCCTTCAACCGGACCAACCTCTGTGGCCCTGGCTGCACGTTCTGGCCCTGCTTTGAGCTCTGCTGTCCTGAGTCGTTTGGCCCCCAGAAGAGATTTGTTGTGAGATTGAAGGTCCTAGGCATGAAGTCACGGTGCTCTACCTCTCCCATCTCCAGAGTCTGTCCCAGGTAAGGACCTGCCTCACTCAAGATGACAACAGGACAAGGGGGCTAAGGCAGGGATGGACTCTGGAGGCTGGGGCCCTACTGGATAGGGGTCCCAGTCCTGCATCTCCCCATCCCTCTCCATGTCTGCATCTCTCCCAAACTGCTCAGTCTCCATCTCTTTCATTTTCTGCAGCATATGAGGGACAACCCGGCCATCCTACTGGAACCTTGGAACATCTGGCTAAAAGCACGCACCCTAAGATATGAGAAGAAATGGGTGGATTTCATAGTTTTCAAATGATAAAAACATGTCCTAGATTCTGGTGAGGTTAGATATGTTCTTTCTGAATTTCCTGTGGCAACTTGCTGAGAAATGATTACACAGGAACTTCTCTCTGCTCCTAAAGCCCCCCCTGCCTACAGCAATCAGTGTCTCCTCAGTCAGCCTAAGTGTCCTCTCTCTCCTCTGGCTAAGGATTCTTCTCTCATCAAGGGGACAAGGAGTGAGGGTGGGGAGGTGGATATTCCTCCCGGTGGGGGGAGACGACCCAGCCCCAGAGCCACCTTGTGGTTCCTGCACCTGCAGCTCCTGTGGGAGGTGGGAGGGTGGGAGCTGCCCTGAGGAGCTGGAGCATTGCTGGGTTAAATGATAAACATCTAAATATTTTAAAATAGTATACAATACTCAAACATTGATTGCTAGACACAATTTAATTCGCCTGCTCTTAGTTTTTATTACAGAAGGTCTCTTGTACTTTGTTGAATGTCTATTTTCTTGAAAGGAAGTGTGTTGTTAAATGTCAATCTAAGAAATGTTGGCTGTTTACTTTTTGGTTATCATTGAAAAATTAAGGTTTCTAAGAGTGAAGAATCCTAATATATTTTAAAGAAAAAAGAAATAAATGGTCTGTACAAGTTGCTGAAGGTATGGCAGGGAGAAAGAATATTAGAGTAGAAATACTTAATGGAAGGTCTGAGGCATGGTTATGCATTTTTGAAGGACGTAGAAAGAAGGCTAATTTGAAAGTGTAAAATTTTTGAAGGCTGCATATGTGATGAGAAGGAAACGAGAAATGTTGAAAGAAAGAAATAAGTTCTAAAGTTAACTATTTACAAGAAATATAAAAGGGCCAGTTTACTCTGTTCAAGAAAGTGAGGTTTCAGTCTCCAAGCCTGGCAGGACAAGGTTGCTGGATCCTTCTTAAGCTAAACCAGAATATTCAGCAGCAAAATTTTAAGATAAGAGTGTGCATAATGCCTCAGACCACCATCCAGCCTGCTCTTCAGATTGGCTGGGGCCGGGGGCGGGGGGCAGGATCTGTACTTAACGGGTCAAATGTATAGTTTTGCTTACTTTGCTTTTCAATAAAGGAGCATACTTTAATTACTTGATAGGTTATCTTTTCACAATATAATTAAGGTCTCATATAAACTCATTCATGTGAGAAGCCAATATTTTATGAGCAACTGGTTCTAGTAAAGTCCAAAGTAAAATTTGCATATATATGCAAATGAGCACTAGCCAAAAAGAATGCTATTTAGAAGTAAATTTAAGCTTAAAAAGAAGAAAAAAGAAAAAAAGAAATGTAAAAATCTCTTCCACTACTACTTACCAAGTAAACTAAAAGTTATTATTGAAGCATTAAATCTCACCATTAATGAGACACCATAAGTAAAAAGAAAGTTACTTTTACTTGAGATGTATGCATTGCAGTATTGGCCAACATGTTTCTCTCCTACCTATTTTTCCTGGACAGCAAGTAAGATGGTTGCTCTGCTTTGAAAGAAAGTAAAAGTCTTTAGTGCAGCAATTTAAGGGTTAAAAGTAAAAACAGCAAGGATTAAGGTTCAGTAAAAATAAGAAGTTAAGCCAGTGAGTGGCAGATTATCACCTTGGGAAATTTAAAGTACTAAATTTGGCTGGTCCGAGTGCAGTGTCTTACTTCTTATCCAACCATCCTGGCCCCTGGCCTCAACTGCTCCTTTCCTTCCTTTTCTCTTTTCCCTTGGATAACAGCCCATTCTAACATTACCTCCCACTTTCACTGCAATAAAATCTCAACCACTCATTTGTCACCCCTTATTGGCAGTGCCATGGTGACTACCCTCTCAGCTTGTAGTGCAGAACTAGAAAAAGGAACCTCATACCCTTTAGTCCACCTCTTCTCCTTACACCTATCAGCTTGTCTCCATGATCAGGGATTTTTCTTCTTCTGTGGGGAAAACACATACATCTGTCTCTCCATCAGCTGGACAGGAATCTGCACTCTCATCTTTCACCCAATATAGATGTAGCCCCCAATAATCAGTCTTTACCTGTCCCCGTAACCCATCATGTCTGACACAAAAGAGGAGTCCAGATAATCCCTTTCCTAATAACCCTGGGCATCGCAGCAGGGGTTGGAACTGCCATAGGGACTTAACCACTGCTCTACCTATTTGGAAATCCTGTCTCAGGACCTACAAGAAACCTGTGGATGCCCAGCAAGGGGCAAAACTGGGAAAACAAGAACCTCACCCCCAGGGTAACCTACTCTCCCCTTTCATATCACTAGTGAGGCAACTGAGACCCCTACTCTTTCCCCCCCTAAAAATAACATCTAGATCTCAGTTGTATTTCAGCTCCAGGCCTAGAAAAGCAGCAAAAGTATACAAGTGATGCTGTGGCAGCCTCAGGACCAGCTTTTACCTCCCAAGTCACTCAACAGGACCACTTTCAAGACTTCACCAACCAGTCTCTTGGGAAAATCATGCTGCTGCAACCCTCATCCAGCCTACTACTATCAGAGTCCATTCCCCTGTGATCTTGACGTCCCACCTCAGCAGGAAGCAATTACAGAAGATATGACCTTCATCCTTATTCCATAAACAAAAAGGCTGGAATGTTAGATTTGATCGAGCAATTGAATTGATACCCCTCCCCCTGGGAACTGGCTTTCCAGGTCATTTCACTATGGGTATTCCCTTTGCTCAGACCACATTTCACTTGTAGTGACCACATTTCATTATCTCCCCCTCCAGTTATGCATAAAGAAGTCTCCATCCAGAAAAAAATCCCGCCAAAAGTCCTTTAAAGGCCGCCGACTCCCGTCACTGGGTGCTGGAGCCATTCAGGCTCAGCCACCTGGTGTGTGGATGATGGAATAAATTCGCAATCCCTCCCCATTCTGGCCTTGTGTGTTCCTCCTTCGACAACCTAACATCTATGACTAAAGAGGGAGAAGGATACCGATTGTGAGCGAGTGAATGAGAGAAACAGAGAGTAAGAGGAAGACTCCTGGGCCAGTTTGTTTCCTGCTGAGTGTCTTGGTCACGAGCACCTGGAAGCCCCAGTGAAAGGCTCGGTGCAGAGCATTGTAGGGTCAGCGGCTGATTTGGAACTGGCGGAGCTGTGTGACCACGGGCTTGTCAAATGTAAGCCTGCATTTCCCATCTGAAAACTGGAGATGAATGAGTCATGCAGTGAGCAAATGGGTACAGAGGTCTGCTCGGTGCAGGCACAGTATTAGTGTCGGGGTCAGAGAGAGGCCCGAGTGGCTGTGCGGGACAGGGCCTGCTGTTGTGCTGGTATCAGGCCCTGAGCAGGACAGCACAGTAGTCAGGGCTCCACTCTGGGCACAAACACATCGTGGGTTCAAATCCCAGCTCTGTCACATTCTGCAGGGTGGTCCAGGTGAATTGGGGCCAGTTACTGTAGCCTCTAAGTGCCTCATTTCCCCAGCTGAAAAGTGGGGACCCTGCAATTCCTAAACTCATGGGGTAGTCAAGATGATTAAAAGGCTGGATGCATATAAAGGGCTGAGAAGAGACACAGGACCTGATAGGGGGGACCTATACTCTGATAGAGCACCTGAATTAATCTGAAAAATATTTTAAATCTTAGAATACATATACTTATGTGAATAGGGGGTTTTAAGTTTCTTATATGTGAATAGGGGGTTAAGTTTTCCTTAAGTTTCCTTTTCAAGGCCTGTGTGAAGTGATTAAGGAGGTGACTCAGCTGTGAATCCAGCAAGCAGAACCACTAAGCAGGGTTAGTCCCAGATTCTCAACAGTGGGGAGTCACTTCCATGGGGGAAAGGCCTACAGTGTTGGTACCTGACTCACTGTCAGCATCAGCCTCCCTCTGGCGTCTTTTTGGAGCACTTTGGCATTGGGTGGCAGAGTCAGCTGGTCTTGGCCACGTGCCAGCATGGAAGGAAGTCCTCAGGGCACAGTGCCTGCAAATAGGCGGGAGCAGGGGACATCCCCGCTCTCCCGGGTGCTGCTCTGGGGCCATTCAGAGGCTACACTCAGGACCAACCCAGGCTGCGGGGGTGATGGAGGAGGGCCTCTGGCAGCTGTGGTCACACATGGAATCTGGCTGTTGGACCTTCAGCCTGCCTCCCCCCAGTTTATTCAAGTCCAGCAGAGAAATAAGTCAAATGGAAATCTCCATTGCCTTCCTCCTCCTTATTCCCCTTTCTACATCAATAGCTTCTAGTCCTGAGCTTTCAGACAAGAGGAAGGACTTCAGCTGCACATAGATTTTGGTGACAAGCAACACAGGGACAGGTGTGAGGTCTTAATTAGAAAGTTAGATGTTGATGTTCCTTCTATCCCTTGTCTCTCTGTTTGTTATATGTTCACAAAATATTCTTGCCCTATCCGGTTTGGCTCAGTGGATAGAGCATTGGTCACAGACTGAAGGGTCCTGGTTTCAACTCCTGGTCAGGGCACATGCTCAGGTTGTGTGCTTAATCCCCAGAAGGAGTAGTGCAGGAGGCAGCTGATCAATGATTCTCTCTCATCATCAATGTTTCTATCTCTCTCTCTTCCTCTCTGAAATCAATAAAAATATTTTTAAAAATATATATTCTTACCCCTGGCTGGGATATGCCAACGTTCCAGGTTTGATCCCCTGTCAGGGCACATACAAGAATCAGCCAATGAATACATACATAGTGGAATAACAAATCAATGTTTCTCTCTGTCTCTCTATCAAAACAATAAATAACATTAAAAAGAAGAAAAATATTCTTAAGTGCCTATTATGTGCCTGGCATTGTTTTAAGCACAAGGAAACCAGGAAATAAGACAGACAAGATGCCTGCTCTTATGGAACCCCCTCTCAAGTTTGAAAGAAAAAAAAAACATGCATGTAAAGGGTCCCGGGTTCGATTCCAGTCAAGGACATGTACCTTGGTTGTGGGCACATCCACAGTAGGAGGTGTGCAGGAGGCAGCTGATTGATGTTTCTCTCCCATCGATGTTTCTAACTGTCTATCCCTCTCCCTTCTTCTCTGTAAAAAATCAATAAAATATATTATATATTTATAAAAAAAGAATATCCCGCATGTATGTGAAAAGTCATGTTAATTGTACACACTGACTCTGGAGATAATCTTGGGCGCCACCCAGTGGCCATCTCGGTGTTTCCAAAGTCCATTCGAGTGGATTAAACATCTGGCCTTTCCCCACCCAATTCTTCCTCAGTTATTTAAGCCACGAGGATCTCCTTTATTAATTCCGTAGGGAGGCATCCAAAAAAAGCGTGTTTCCTCTCAGAAGGTGAATAATCTCACCAGGGGTCTGGGGCCTCAAAGTGGGACCTGAGGATATAATCTCAAAGTCTGGAAACAACTTGAATTTCTCAAGTGGTTGGGGATGAGGCTTCTAGTTTGGCATAGTTAGTAACCGCTTTATGTCCCTGAGGTCCCTCTGAGTTCTTTATATCACATCCCTCGGTTTTAATAATGGCAATTTGCTGGGGTAATAACAGTGCTTCCAAAATTCCTACTGTTTGGGGTCCATTGTTGATTGGGGTACCAGATGCTGTCAAATAGCCTCTGTTTCCCTAACAGTGATGGCGAACCTTTTGAGCTCGGCGTGTCAGCATTTTGAAAAACCCTAACTTAACTCTGGTGCCGTGTCACCTATAGAAATTTTTTGACATTTGCAACCACAGTAAAACAAAGATTTATATTTTAGATATTTATTTTATATATTTAAATGCCATTAAACAAAGAAAAATCAACCAAAAAAATGAGTTCGCGTGTCACCTCTGACATGCGTGTCATAGGTTCGCCATCACTGCAACACATCCAAGTCCTATTCTACCCCAAAGGCCTGGGGCTGTCAGTACAGATGGTAACCTGCACTCCTGCTGCTCTTATGCAGAGTGAGAGGCCCCTTGTGGCCCTTTGCTGCCATTGCCTTAAGAATGTACCCAAGAACAAAGTTGGAGGAATCACAATACCCAGATATCGAGTTATACTACAAAGCCATTTCAATCAAAACAGCCTGGTACTGGCACAAGAACAGGCATATAGATCAATGGAACAGAACAGAGATCCCGGAAATTGACCCAACTCATTACATTCAATTAATATTTGACAAAGGAGGCAAGAACATACAGTGGAGTCAAGACAGTCTCTTCACTAAGTATTGTTGGGAAAATTGGACAGATACACGCAAAAAAATGAAACTAGACCACCAACTTAACCATACACAACAATAAACTCAAAATGAATAAAAGACTTAAATGTAAGTTGTGAAATTATAAAAATCCTACAAGAAACCATAGGCAGCAAAATCCCAGACATCTCTTGTAGCAATATGTTTGCAGATACATCTCTTAAGGCAAAAGAAACTAAGGAGAAGATAAACACATGGGACTACATTATGATAAAAAGTTTCTGCACAGCAAAAGAAAACATCAGCAAAATGAAAAGGGAACCCACTGTATGAGAGAACATATGGTAATGATACATCTGATAAAGGATAATATCTAAAATATGTAAGGGACTCATACAACTTAACAAAAGGAAGACAAACAATCAAGTTAAAAAATGGGCAAAGGGCCCCAGTCGGTTTGGATCAGTGGATAGAGCGTCAGCCTGTGGACTGAAGGGTCCTGGGTTCAATTCCGGTCAAGGGCACATACCTGGGTTGTGGGCTCGATCCCCAGTAAGGGGTGTGCGAGAGGCAGCCAGTGTATGATTCTCTCTTATCATTGATGTTTCTATCGTTCTCTCCTCTCCCTGAAATCAATAGAAATATATTCTGAAAAAAATGGGCAAAACACCGAAATAGACACTTTTCCAAAGTGGACATACAGATGGCCAAGAAGCATATGAAAACATGCTTAAAATCACTAACCATCAGAGAGATGCAAATGAAAAGACAATGAGGTATCACCTCACACCTGTCAGAATGGCTACCATCAACAGATCAACAAATGACAAGTGGTGACAAAGGTGTGGAGAAAAGGGAACCCTAGTGCACTGCTGGTGGGAATGCAGACTGGTGCAGCCATTATGGAAAACAGGATAGAGTTTCCTAAAAAAAAATTTAATATGGAACTGCCATATGACTCAGTGATCCCACTTCTAGGAATATATCCTATGAAATCAGAAACACCAATCAGAAAGACTATATGCATCTCCAGCAAATTGCACAGCAGCACAAGTTATAACAGCTAACATTTGGAAACAGCCCAAGTGTCCATCAGTAGATGAGTGAATAAAAAAGCTGTGGTACATTTACACCATGGAATACTATGCAGCAGTTAAAAAGAAAAAAGAAAAAAAAAGAAGCATCTCTTACCCTTTGAGACAGCATGAAGGGACCTGGAGAGTATCATGCTAAGTGAAATAAGCCAGTCAGAGAAAGACAAGTATCACATGATCTCACTCATATGTAGAATCTAATGAACAAAATAGACTGATGAACAAAATAGACCCAGAGATACAGAAGCATGGAACAGACTGGAATCTCAGAGGGAAGGCAGGGGTGGGTGAGTAGGAAGAGATCAACTGAAGAACTTGTATGCATATTTGCATAACCCATGGACATAGAAAATCGGGTGGTGAAGGCCTGGAGCAGTGGGTGGGGTGGGCTAGAAGGGGTCAATGGGGGGAAAACAGGGGCATATATAATACTTTCAACAATAAAGATTTTTTTTTTAAAAAAAGAATGTACTCTGGGTCAAGAAGTGAGCTGTCAGAACTGTCAGAACAGAAGATGAGATCATCCACATGCAGGATTAAAGTGGAGTTTCCTGGAAATTATATGTCCCTCAAATTTATATTTAGGGTGTGCAAGAAGGGGGCAGGGGCCTCAGTGAGTCTTGGGGCATAAAATCTAGATATATTGCTGATTTTCCCAGGTGAAGGCATGTAAGT